TCCTCCTCCTGGACAGGGCTAGGACGCTGATAAATCCGCTCAGGGCGTGCGGATCGCTCTCTGAGCGTTCTGGAACGCTCTGAGAAGGCCGTGGCGCCCGATATATCCTCCAGATCTGCCAGATCTCAGAGATTCTCGATTCACCCTTGCCCGATTCTATCCACGTCCTGGTTTCGTCCTTATTATTCTCCTCCTATCCTCCTTAGCCTCCTCCTCCTCCTCCCCCTCCTCTCCTCCTCCTCCTCCTCCTCCTCCTCCTCACTCCTACCCCTCCTCCTCCATCCTCCTCCTCCTCCTCATCCTCCTCCTCCTCTCCTCCTCCTCTCCTCCTCCTCCTCCCCCCTTCTCCCACTCTCCTCCTCCTCCTCCTCCTCCTCCTCCTCCCCCTCCTCCTCCTTTCCTCCTCTTCCTCCTCCTCGCCGATCTCCTCCTGCTCATCTCCTCCCTCCTCCTCCTTCTCCTCCTCCTCCTCCTCCCGATCCTGCCTCCCCCTCCTTCTCCTCTCCTCCTCCTCCTCCTCCTCCTCTTCTCTCTCCTCTCTCCTCCTCCTCACCCCTCCTCCTCCTTCTCCTCCTCCCCCTCCTCCCCCTCTTCGGCCCCCTCGGCTCGCTGCCCTCGCGCCCAGGCGCGCCGCAGATCGGCCAGGGGTGGTGGTGGGCCTCCTCCTCCTCCGCCTCGTCGGCGGTCTGCGCTCCTCGCCCCCATCGACTGGACGTAAGAGTGAGTCGGGCGTGTCCCTCTACATGAGGAGTATTCAGAAATAGTTAGGATGGGGAAGATGTTTTGAATATGTTTGAGTATGGTTTGTAGTCCTCTTTGATTCTTTTAAATCTGTCATCCAAAATCCGCCTGTAGGGGGACAGGCCCGACCTAAATGTAAGAGTGACCTTTCGCCAGAGTGACCTCTGGTGCGGGCCCAGAGACTAACTGGTTGCCGATCGAGCATTCCCTGGATCGGACCCCAAGCGTTTTTCCTGATATCCAAATCCTGGAGATCCGCGTAAGAGTGACCTTTCGCCAGAGTTCCCTTTGGTGTGGGCCAACTGGGTCCCCCGATCGCTGAGCGCGGAGCGGTAGCAGCGGCTTGCGCGCCCGGGTTTTGCCAACCCCCGCGTCACCCGTGAAGTCGTGCACCAAATGTCTTTCCTACCCGGGGTCACTCTTGCGCGAAGCCGATCCCAGGGCCCCCCCGGGCCACACACAAAAAACACGACGGGCAGTTCTTCTCAGTTTTCGGATTCTGGGGGCCTTCAGCGGGCCTCTGGACCGTCAAAGAACGACTCAGGGTGAAAAGCGGGTCTCGGGGAATAGGTGGAGACCTCAGTGGGTCGACGGTATGGACAATCATGACGTCGGGGGTCCGGGTGGTCGGCGGCGACATCCGAACCCCACCCTCGCCGATCAACGGTTCAGGCAACTAGATGGGCGGTGGGGGTAGGGTTTGGAATCCGTCGGGCACATGGCCCCCATGGATTCAGGAGAGTCGATGGTTAATGTTCGTCTGAAGAGGGGCGAGAGGGGGGCGGGGGGCGAGCGCCTTGCAAGTATAATCGCCTGAAACATAAACACATGCGGCTCCCAGGTGGCCCAGCACTGGTTCAGGTCCTCCTCCTCCTCCTCTCCTCCTCCTCCTCCTCCTCCTCCTCCTCCCCCTCCTCGTTCCTCCTCCTCCTCCTCCTCTCCTCCCTCCTCCTCCTCCCCCTCCTCGTTCTCCTCCTCCTCCTCCTCCTCCCTCCTCCTCCTCTGCTCCTCCTCCTCCTCCTCTCCTCTCTTCCTCCCCCCTCCTCCCCTCCTCCTCCTCCTCCTCCTCCTCCTCCTCTTCTCCTCCTCCTTCCTCCTCTTCCTCCTCCTCCTCCTCTCCCCTCCTCCCCCCCCCCTCCTCCTCCTCTCCTCCTCCACCTCCTCCTCCCCCCTCTCTCTCCTCCTCCTCCTCCTCCCCTCTCCTCCTCCCGTCCTCCTCCTCCTCTCCTCCTCCTCCTCCTCCTCTCCTCCTCATCCTCCTCCCTTCCTCCTCCTCCTCCTCCTCCTCCTCCTCCCTCTCCTCCTCCTCCTCCTCCTCCTCCTCCTCCTCCTCCTCCTCCTCCTCCCCTCCTCCTCCTCCTATTCCCCCTTCTCCCCCTCCCCATCCTCCCCTCCTCCTCCTCCTCCTCCTCCTCCTCCTCCTCCTCCTCCTCCTCCTCCTCCAGGGATGGCGGGCAGGCCTGAGGTCCCGGGTCCGGGCATAGCGATTTGTGTTCCGCCCCTGCCTGCCTCTTCCCGTGGGCCTCGCGGTCGGCCCCGGGGATCGCCAGAACCAGGGCTCCTCGGGAGCCTTTTGAGGCGGGGGTCCACGCAAGCGGGGGTCAGACAGAGCGCCCCGATCTTGCGGGATCCTGCAGGGCCAGGGTCGCATGGACCCGGGCTTGGGTGCAGGATCCTGCAGGATTTTGCAGGATCTTGGCCTGGGTTTGGGTGCAGGATCTTGCAGGATTCTGCAAGGCTTGACTGACCCGGGTCTGGATTGACCCAGGTCAGAAGATCCCCGAGGCTCGGGGGGGGGAGCACTGCACCACGATGGGCCCCCGGGAGGGCTCCTGGGACCGATCTTAATTTAAGAAAAACACCACAAACATACACATGCATCGAGCAACAAAAACGGCATGAACTCAAAAACTGCATAAACATAGTTACGTCGTCTCGATTAAAACGGCATCGAATGTTTGGCTGATTTCTTGGATCTGCGCTGAGACGCCCCTGGCGGCGCCTCCGGCGCCGCCCTGGGCGCGCTCCGCGCGCCAGGCACGGGGGGGTCCAGCGCAGATCCACGCAACCCGCGCGGACCGCCACGAGTTTGTGTTTGTGCCGTTTCTTGCTCCGCTGTTTGAGCGGATTTGGGTTCGCGCCCCCCTGTGCCGACCGATCTTCCGGGGGCCCGGCCAGCTCGGATCCCTTGGTATCGCTCGGGCATGTGTACCCTTTCTCTCGGCGGGGACTCTTATAAGGAGCATCCTGGACCACCCTGCGAAAACGCCACACGAGACCGAAAAGAGCACCGACCGAGCGATGGCGGCCACGGGCGGCGACGAAACCTCGGCGGGCCCCACGAGTGTCAGGAGGGGACAAAAACACCCAGACACAATTCATCGTCGACTCCCAGGAAAATAGGGGAAAATATGGGAAATGGTGGGGTGGACAAAAAAAAACAGGAAATTTAGGAAAAATATGAGGAATCAGGAATCAGGAAAATATGAGGAATCAGGAATCCCGGGCGCCGCGCACACTCCCAGGAAAATATGGGACATATGGGAAAAACCGGACATATATTTGAAAATATGGGAAAAAAACAGGAACATACTGTGTATATTTCTTCTTGTGTCCCCGGGCCCCTTCGAGGTGGGCGGCCACGAGGCGGCCCCACGAGGCGGCCACAGGGCGGCCGCGCGGCGTGGCCTCGGCGGCCCCTCCAATGTTGGGCGGCCACGAGGCGGCCCCACGGGGCGGCCTCGGGGCGGCCACGCGGCGTGGCCTCGGCGGGCCCCCCCCAAAAGCAAGGGCTCCCTCGAGGGCGCGAAGGTATTCGCGCTTCGCGCTTCGCGGTCCTCGTTCCTCCTCCCCCTCCTCCTCGTCCTCCTATTCTCCCTTTGGGAGGGCGGCGCGAGAGCGCGAAGTTATTCGCGCTTCGCGCTTCGCGCAGCGCGAAGCGCGAACTTAGGAGCCCTTGAAAAGGGGCGGCAGCGAGGGGGCCACAGGGCGGCGACGCGGCGAAGCCTCTGCGGACCCCCCTGCAGGCCAGACCCCCCCCGCCCCAAGCCTTAATTATGTCGGGCGTGTCCCCCCACAGGGGGATCTTCGACGGAAAAAACAAAATATACATCCAAAATGCACCAAAAAGGCAACACACATATGGAAAACATAGTCCCCAGATGATTTCTGAGCACTTGTTGGTTATTTTTGGCGTATTTTTTATTTCTCGTCGAAAATCCCCCTGTAGGGGGGACAGGCCCGACTTAGCCCAGGCCCCCCCCCTGCCCAGATCCTGTTCGGGGCCACGTCGAGGGGCGTGGGGCAGCGCCCCGGTCGGGGACGAGGCTCGTGGAGGCTTGATGATGCCCGAGGTCCTCGGGGGTGTCTCTCGGGGGCTCTGCGCAGATGCCTCGTCAACACACGTGCAGTGTTTTTTTTTTTTTTTTTTTTTTTTTTTTTTTTTTTTTTTTTTTTGTTTTTTTCTATCCGTAAGGGCTTCGCCCCCTGCCGCCGGCCCCCTCTCTCGGAAAATGGGCCATGGAAGAGCTAAGTCATGAGGCCTTGGCGCTGTCGTGAAGCAGGATCGAAACTTCATGCGAAGCCGATTCGCAATCAGCAAAACCAACTGATCACAAGAGGGGTTACCACACCTGGCGATTGGTAAGACGTGTATGGTTTACGGGCTTGGTTACCACACCTTGCAATTAAAGGGCCGAGGGAGTTCTCGCAGTTTGGGTTACCACGCCTTGCGATGGATGTGCGTGAAGGGTGGCACCGAATTTCAGAAATGTGGCAAATCCCTGTGTTTTTGGACCCTGACCCCGCGGATCTGCGTGAGGGGTGGCACCGAATTTCAGAAATGTGGCAAATCCCATGTGTTTTTGGACCCTGACCCCGCGGATCTGCGTGAGGGGTGGCACCGAATTTCAGAAATGTGGCAAATCCCCTGTGTTTTTGGACCCTGACCCCGCGGATCTGCGTGAGGGGTGGCACCGAATTTCAGAAATGTGGCAAATCCCATGTGTTTTTGGACCCTGACCCCGCGGATCTGCGTGAGGGGTGGCACCGAATTTCAGAAATGTGGCAAATCCCATGTGTTTTTGGACCCTGACCCCGCGGATCTGCGTGAGGGGTGGCACCGAATTTCAGAAATGTGGCAAATCCCTTGTGTTTTTGGACCCTGACCCCGCGGATCTGCGTGAGGGGTGGCACCGAATTTCAGAAATGTGGCAAATCCCTTGTGTTTTTGGACCCTGACCCCGCGGATCTGCGTGAGGGGTGTCGATTTCGAGCCCCCCCAGCAATTCAGACAACGCGCCCAGGGGGTGCTAAAAAATCTGGTTTGGGCCTCCCTCCCCTCGCGCGGTCAATCAACTAGTTACAGTAACCAGCAAGAAGCAGAACTGTAACACTGGAAACTACAAAACTACAACTGGTACAGGAAACTGCGAATCACGGGCCTGCAGCCTGGTGGCCCCACAAGGGGGCCGGCGGATACATGCTCCGCGTGCGGATCATGTATTAAACATGCAGGGACTTAGTATTGAAAACAACGATGAGTTCATGCGTAAATTCATTCATAAGTGAATCATTTAGCAAACATCCGAAATTTCCCAAATCCTATTTATTAAAAACTGCCCTGTACATTGCAACGCGGTTCACAGTCTGAGCGCTCGACAGTTCGGGCACCTGTCAGAAAACGCGCGCGTTCTTCAATGTTGTGAGGCTTCTGCCGGATTTCGGGCACCCCTGCGTCTGGGCCGAGTCCCTCATGCCATCAGTGAAGTAGCGCCCACCAGGCAAGCATCGAACACAAGAACCGTCAATCTATTTTTGACGAGTCTTGAAGGTGGCTATTCAGCCTCGGGATGCTTTTCGGCAGCTGCGCCTCACTGAGAACGAGCGAACGAACGAAGCCGCACCCTGACGGAGCATTGGCAAACGGATAGGGAATACTGACCCCATGCGGGCCGGCATGCAGAGAAAAAATCGGCGGAACGGTGCACGGCGCCTCGGGGGGCCATCGTTGCAGCCTTTGCTTCCAACGAGGTGCGAAGGGACCCCGATCTGGCGCTCCTCGCTGAGAGCGTTGCCGATCTGGCCCCCCCCTCCTCCTCCTCCTCCTCCTCCTCCTCCTCCTCCTCCTCCTCCTCCTCCTCCTCCTCCTCCTCCTCCTCCTCCTCCTCCTCCTCCTCCTCCTCCTCCGTTCCCCCCTCCCGGTCGAGCTCCGGGGCCCCATCCGTCGGGCGGCGGAGCCTGCACAGAGTACCCGCTGCCCCCTGGCGGGGGGCCCCTCCTCGGCCCGGGAGCCGTGCGCGCGCCCTTCCTCCCGGCCAGGCCTGGGAGGGCGTGGCGCGCGCACCGCTGCTGGGTTCGGGATGGTCGCAGGCGGCGTGGCTCCCTCGATCCCCGAGCTTCGCCCGAGAAGTTTGGCCGCTCAGGTGAAGGCGGGGAGTCTTGGATGAGCCCCAAGAGGATGCTATTCGTTCGGGTGTCACCCCTGTCGAGGCTGGCCCGCCCCCGCATCGCATGTCCCAGGATTTGGGCCCCAAATCTTTGGTCCAGTCGAGAACTTCCCAAAAAGTCGGGGACTGGGGTCGCCATGCCCCTCTTTGAGATGTGCATCGAGCTCCTCGCCCCCCCCCCCTCCAGCCGCCTCCATCCTGGACCCCCCCCCCCCATTCCATGGCCTTCCGTCGGGCCTGTCCCTCTACAGGAGGAATGTTTCAAAATAGGAACAGAAGAGTCTGGGGACGATCTCTTGCCTGCTTTTGACCATTTGGGATTTTTGTTTGACTATTTTTACTCTCCTCCACGCCCGTCGGGCAACCTGCCCGACCTCTCCGTGGCCCTGCGGCCCCCGCGGCGTGGCGCGCCGAGGCGCGGAGGCGTCTGGCCCTCCCCCCCTGCCCCTCGCGAGGGGCGCCCACAGCCAGCAGGTTCGCGTCGTGTCGACCAGCGGCGACCCCGCCGCCCGCGTTCCGCGTCGAAGGCCGCGGGCGGCCCGGGATCCTTCGATGCGGAACGAGTGGGACGTTCCGGAAGCGGCCGAGCGTTCCCAGGTGGAACGCTCCCCGCGGTGTCGGAGACCACCGCCGAAGTCGGTGCGGCACGAGCCTGACGTACTTGTGTATCGGCGCCCTGCCCTGCAGCGCCCCGTAGCTGGCTCCAAACGGCCCCTGAACTGCCGCCGCGGGCCTAAACAAAGGTAAAATATCAGTTTAAAAGAAAGAAGAAGCAATTTAACACAAATAAGAGAACATACAAAAAACATAACAATATAAACAGAGGTGCACACTTCTTCCCTTGCCCCCCTCTCAAGGGCGCAAGAAAGACGCCCCTACCCTGGTTTACGAGGCGCTGTGCGCTGAACCTCTTGTGGGCTGACAAGGCTGCGGCCCCCGCGTATCGCGCGTGCCGCGCGGCGCCCTGGCGGCTCTCTGGCCTTGGCGAGCTCCCAGGAGGTTAACGGGCCGCGCGCCTGCAACCCCAGGGCAGGGGCGCTCCTTCGTCCCTGCCCTTCCCCCCCTCCCGCTGGGCGGACGTCCGAACGAAGCTGCAGCCGCCGCGGCGTCGAGGTGTGGCGCCCGGTGGCCTTCGCGCCGAGGCGCACGGGCCGAGGAGGGCGGCGACGGAGCGCTGGGCCGGGTGTGCGGCTGGACTGGCGGTTTTTTCTCTCCGCCATCGCTCCCCGCGGCCGAAGGCGCCAGCCTGCGGAGGCGGGGGCCGAGGAGGAGGGGGGGGAGGAGGAGCAGGGGGCGGGGAGGAGGAGGAGAAGGAGAGGAGGAGGGGGAGCAGGAGGGGGGGGACGAGGGGGCGGAGGGGCTGGAGGGGGAGGAGGAGGAGGAGGAGGACGCGGCCGCGCTGGCGGTCCTTGCTCTGCCATCGTTCCCCGCGGCCGAAAGTTCCAGCCCGCGGCTGTTCTGGCGTGACCCGCGCCAGCCCCGCCAGTCTGAGGGGCGGGGGCCCATCAAACAGCCGCGCGGGCTCCCCGTCCAGGCAGAGCGCATTCGGCACACGCGCGCCCACCGTGGGCTGCCCGCTGACGGAGGTCGTCTCGCGTGGCGCTTCGCGGTGTTGGTCAGGGTGTGTTTTTTCGCCAGGGGGCGGCGCGATGTCGCAAGGATAAACGCGCTTACACGCAGCGTGAAACGTGAAGCCGGCCGATCTGCAATCTTGACTTATACATTTGTATGTATACAATGTGTAAAGAAACATGCGTGCGTATGTTTGTATGTTTATGATTGCATGGGTGTATGTAGGTGAGTATACATGTGTATAGTTATGTGCAAGCTGAGGTGCGCACGTACACACGTATATGTACGGTCGCCCCCAATGGAAGACCTGTTCTTTGTCATGGCGCTTCCTCTTCTGATGAATTTCCTTACCATTCTCATTCCTTGAATCGTGTCGCACATTCCGCCAGCCCGTTTCGCATCATTGTGGCTGCGTGGTTTTGTGCTCGTGCCCAGGGGGAATGGTATAGGGCAGGCAGGAACGTCCTCGAGGAGATCTCTTCGGAGGTGCGGCTCCCGCCCATGCGCGAAGAGAGCCGGTAGACGGCCCCAGAGGGCGCCAAGGTGGCTCAAGAGAGCTCCAGCAGCAAGGGCGCCCTCGAGGGCGCGAAGTTATTCGCGCTTCGCGCTTCGCGGTTCGGCTCCGATTCCTCATCCTCCTCTTCTCCCCTGGGAGGCGGCGCGAGAGCGCGAAGTTATTCGCACTTCGCGCTTCGCGCAGCGCGAAGCGCGAAGCTGGGAGCCCTTGCAGCAGAGTTCCGAGACGAACCTGGGTTGGGTCAGTGTCCTCATGGATGCTTCTTGGGGTCTCTCGGGGGCGCTCTCGGGGGCTTTGGGGGCTAGTTTGGGGGCTAGTTTGGGAGCGTGTTGGGAGCTTCTTGGGGGGCCTCTTGGGAGCCTCTTTGTGATTCCTGGGAGCCTCTTGTGGGCTTCGTGGAGCTTCTTGGGGCTGCGGGCCTCTTGGGGCCTCCTAGGGGCGTCGTGGGGCTGAGGTGTTGAAATGTGCGTTCTGGTCCCCCCGTCTGAGCTCCTGGCTGGGGCTGTCTTAGAGCCCTCTCTAGCCGTCTTTGAGGCCCCTTGAGCCGTCCTGGGGCCCTCTTGGAGGCGCCTTGGATTGTCTTGGGGCCCTCCTGGGAGCCTCCGGGGCCGTCTTGGAGTGCTCTTCGGATGCTCTCGACATTTCTGGGCCCCCGGTCCTCAGAGTTGGGCGCCCGAGTTATCCGGGGTAACTTGGGTCCGGGGTAAGTCGGGTTTGGATTCCCGAAAAAGGAACCCGAGTTATCCCTGACCCGAGTTACCCCTGATGATTCGGGGCCCTGGACGCCCGAGTTATCCGGGGTAACTCGGGTCCGGGGTAACTCGGGTTTGGATTCCCGAAAAACGAACCCGAGTTATCCCTGACCCGAGTTACCCCTGATGATTCGGGGCTCTGACAGAGGGGCGTGGTTGGCACGGCTCTGCTCCTCCGCCCTCCCCTCGACCTGGCAGGCCGGCCTGCCCAGTCGGGTCTGTTTCGATGTGAGCGCGCTCCTCCGTGAGTGTTATACCTCGCCGCGAGCAGTCGGTGCGTTTGCCGCACGCGCGCGCTCCTCCACGTCCTCCCGCCCTGTCCTGCTCGCCTTCCTCGCTCTTCCCCGCATCCGCGTCATCCTTCTCGTCGTTCCTCCCGCCGCCCTCCCTCCCCGCCCTCTCGTCCCCTATGCCCGTCCCCCAACCCACCCCCCACTGTTGTCCTCGTCCGCTTCCTTATCTCATTACCTTGCAGTGTTCCGCAGAATATGAGTGAGAGGAGCGGAAGGGGGAGGGGGAGAACAACAATTATATTCATGAGTGCGGACCGATGCTGATGACGATAGTGGCCGTGTTGCTGATGATACAGGTGTTGATGTTGGTGGTGGTTGTGATGTTGCTGCTGATGATGCTGCTGCTGCTGATGATGATGATGATGATGATGATGATTATGATGATGATGATGATGATGATGCTGATGATGATGATGATGATGATGATGATGATGATGGCGATGTGTATAGTGATGATGGCCCTGATGAGTGTGACGATGACGATGATCCTTTCGATGCTTACGATCATGATGAACATGGTGATGACAATGAAGAGGAGGATGCTGGTACTGACGATCATGAGGAGGAAGGGAGAGAAGGACAACGACGATTATGACAACGATAAGAGGAGGAACTCGGTGACGATTCGAGGATGATCATGGTGATGTTGATGCTCCCTTTCTTCCATCCTTGTTTGGGCTCCTGTGGGGACTCTGGGGCAGTTTAGGGGGGTCATTTTGTCCACTATGGGGCGTCGTGAGGCCGTCTCGAGGTTCTCCTGGGCCGTCTTGGGGCCTTCTTGGCCGTCTGAGGGTCCCATGCGGCTGTCGTGGCGTGGGGCCGTCTTTAGTCCTCTTGGACAGTCGAGGGTTCCCCGAAGGCAGTCTTGGTCCCTCCGGAGACCCTCTTGGGTCAGCTCGGTCGGGGCTCTCGTGGGACCGTCCTGGGCCGTCCAGGGGCCCCATTGGGTTGTCCTGCGGCCGTCTTGGAGGATTCTTGGGCCACTGGGGCGCCCTCTTGGACCGTCCTGGGGGCAGTCTTGGAGGCCCGAGCCGTCTGGAGCTGCAGGAAGCTCGAAGCGATGAAGACGCCCAGATCTCTGAAACGCCGAAGGACATATGGAGCGACTTTGGCTCGCAGGGGCCCTACTGGGGGTTCCTCTTCTGGCCCGCTGGCGCCGTCTTGGGGGCCTCCCCCCTCTGCTAAGTAAAGCTGTGCGCGGCCCGCCTAGCTTTTATCGGAAGAGGCTCGCTCTCGACCCGCAGATCACAAAAAGTCTTGGGGGCCTCCTGGGCCGCCTCGATGCCATCTCGGGCCGTCCAGGGCCCACCGTGGGCGGCCTGGGAGGCAGCTCGGACCATCTCGGCGGTCTCCGTGGCCTGCCGCGGCCTTCTCTTGGAGCCCCCGGGAGCGCGTGCCCGCGGTGCGGTGCGTGGAGCCTCGGCCTCGGGAGCGCGGGTCGTGGCCACGGGAGCGCAGAGCCCCCGCTCTCACGGGGGATCGTGGCCTCGGGAGCGCGGGTCCTTTTTTTTTCTGAGGGGTCGTGGCCTCGGGAGGGACGCGGTGCATGCGGAGTTCTGCGAGCATATAGAGGAGGGGGGCCCCTTTTTGAACGAGTACGGAAGCCCTGTCAGGAAGCGCTGGGCACTCTTCCACGCCTCGCCTCAACGTGTCAGGGGGCACGGTGGCGGATATTTGAGAGGAGCAGAGGGATGATGATTATTCGATGATGATGGTGATGTTGTTGCTGGTACTGATGATGACGATGATGATGTTGATGATGAGGATGATGAGCTGATAATACGGATGAGGATGATGATGATGATGAGGATGATGAGGAGGAGGAGGAGGATGATGATGATGTTGAGGCCGATGATGATGAGGATGAGGATGATGAGGATGATGATGAGGATGAGGATGAGGATCAGGATGATGATGATGATGATGATGATGATGATGATGATGATGATGATGATGATGATGATGATGATGATGCCGATGCTGGTGCTGATGCTGCTGATGATGATGTTGTGGTTGACGCGATGCTGATGCTGCTGCTGCTGCTAATGCTGTTGAGGATGACGACGATTCTTATGATGATGGCATTGATTATGATGATGATGTTGTTGTTAATGGTTGTGATGATGGCGACGACGCCAGCAACGACGATACCTGAAGACGATGATGATGATGACAAATGTGTTGGTGATAGATCGGATCAAGATGAAGATGCAGATGAAGAAAAACACCATGATCCTGATGATGATACTCACGATGCTGCTGCTGCTGATAATGATGCTGATGACGATGACGATGATTATGGTGACGATGGTGAAACATGTAAATGATGATGACGCTGATGGTGGTGATGATGCTGATGATCATGGTCACGACGCCGATGATGACGACAATGACGATGACGATAACGATGGTGATGATGCTGCTGATGATGATGGCGATGATGCTGATGGTGGTGATGATGATTGATGGTGACGATGCTGCTGCATGAGGAGAACATGAGGAGGACGAGGGCAAGCTGATCAGTACAAGGAATGGGGGTGGATGAGGAGTGGAGGAGCAGGATGTGGAGAAAGAGGAGGATGGGGAGGAGGGGGGAGGGGTAGAGAAAGGGGAGTAGAAACATCCGAGAAAGATTACCATTTGGAAAGTAGTACTAGAAGGGGATGGCGAGAAGGAGGAGGCCGAACAGGAGCTGGAGGGATGGGGGAATAACAGGAGCAGGATGAGGAGAGAGATGAGAAGGAGGAGACGGAGGAGAAGGGGAAGGAGGAAGTGGAGGAGGAGGAGGAGGAGGGCGAGGAGGATCGGGAGGAGAGGAGCGGGGTCGTCTTCGTCGCCGCCGCCGCCGCTGTCGGCGCCGTCGTCGTCGCCACCAGCGCAGCCCCGCTGCGGCCGCCGCCGCCGCCAACGACAGCGCAGCCGCCGCCGCCGCCGCCGCCGCCGCAGCCGTTGCCGCCGCCTCCGCCGCCGCCACCGCCGCCGCCACCGCCGCCCTCGTCGTCGTCGTCGTCGTCGTCGTCTTCGTCGTGTTTGTGGTCGTCGTTGTAGCGATCGTCGTCGTCGTCGTGATCGTCGTCGTCGTCGTGATCGTCGTCGTCGTCTTCGCCGCCGCCGCCGCCCCCGTCGTCTTCGT